TCTTCAGAGTAGGGATGATTAAACAACACAGAGAACTTTCTCATCAGAACATTTAGAAGCATTAGAAGCATTTGGAGAGTATTAACTGAAGGAGAAGGTGAACAGTTAATTTAAAGTATCTCCTTCTAATAATAGATGGCAATTTTTATATCACTAATCATTTTCTCCTTTGGGTTGTTAAAACCAGGGGTGGGAAGTAATGCCTGTGCTGTCTGTAGTGCAGCAAAGAGCTTTCCAATCCAAACTTGTACTGCACCCAATGCAGCCACTATGTTCATTGGAACCATGAATGTGCGGTCAGAGAGAAATCAGACAGTGCCTGTAGTAGTCTGAGACATGATGGCAATGTTCTAGAAGGCAGTCTATCTAAGCAGCATTATATAATAAGGCAACCAGGCTAATTTTTCAGTGATTCCAGAATCAGTTTTGAGATGTAGATTTATTTTTTGTTTCAGTGAATGTTTTGATCTCGTCGGTTATATATATATTTTTTTTCCTTTACTGTGATGAGTTTATTGATAAATTTTTGGTTATAAAGCCAATCTTGCATTCTTGGAGATAAATTTGTCCTGATACCTTTTGGTGCACTGTTGGACTAATTTTGCTGACATTTGGCTAAGGATATTTGCATCTAAGTTCATGAGTGAAATTGGCTTGAAATGTTCCTGAACAATAGCCACTTGGCTTTGGTATTAAGGCTATGCTAGATATAACATAAAGAGTTCTTTGGTGTGGTAGATGAGACATTTGGCTACTAACCAGAAGGTCAGAGGTTCAAACCCACCAGCCACACTGTGATAAGAAGATGGGGCAATCTACTTCCATAAAGATTTACAGTCTTGGGAACCCAGTGGGGTTCTCTCTAAGTTGGAATCAACTGGATGGCAATGAGGTTTTCTTTTTTTTTTTCTGAGGGATATCATAAGGAGCTCTGGTGGCGCAGTGGTACAGCACTGGACTGCTAACTGAAAGGTTGGTGGTTTGAGCCACCAGGCACTCTGTGGGAGAAAGATGAGACAGTCTGCTTCTATAAAAATTTATAGCTGTGGAAACCCTCTGGGGAGTTCTACTCTGTCTTAGGTTGCTATGATTCAGAATTGACTCAACAGCAGTAGGTTTGGTTTGTTTTAGTTATGCTGGAA